CACCGTTTTTGTACCACTCTGCACCACTGTGCAACCCAACCAGCACCACCACCACCCACAGTGACACAGAGGGGCACAAAACCCCCCGGTGCAGCCCCCTCTTCTGCAGGACCACACGCCCCAGTGGCCACAGCCTCACCTCGTCTCTCCTGCACCCCTAAAAAGTCCCTAAAAGGGAAAACACCCCCCAGAATCGCTGAAAACAGAGCATAGAATGCAAAAGCGTCCTCTTATCCTGGTTAAAAATGCCCTAAAACGCAACAGTGGCCCAATATTTCTTCCAAAAAAAAGCTCTAACGGGCAAATACAGCCCCGTATTTGGGGCAAAAATGGCCCCAAAGATAAGTGAAATGCTCTAATTCAGTGCAAAATTATCCCTAAAGGGTAAAACATGCCTCAACATGGGGCAAAAATGGCCATAAAATGCAGGGAAATGCCTCTATTTGGGGCCGAACGAGCCAGAAAGGGCAAAAAAGTCCTCAAATCTAATGCATAAAGTGTTGTAGAAGGAAAAGCGTCCCCAATTTGGTGGGAAAAATGGCTGAAAAGGGGAAAATATCGCACTATACTGAGGAAACATGTCCAGATTTGGGTGGAAAGAGTCCCAAAGAGCCAAATCCTGCCCGGATTTGGGTGGAAACAGGCCCAAAGAGTCAAATCCTGCCCGGATTTGGGTGGAAACAGGCCCAAAGAGCCAAATCCTGCCCGGATTTGGGTGGAAAGAGTCCCAAAGAGCCAAATCCTGCCCGGATTTGGGTCAAAAGAGGCCCAAAGAGCCAAATCCTGGCCGGATTTGGGTGGAAAGAGGCCCAAGAGCCATGTCCTGCCTGGATTTGGGTGGAAACAGGCCCAAAGAGCCAAGTCGTGCCTGGATTTGGGTGGAAAGAGGCCCAAAGAGCCAAATCCTGCCCGGATTTGGGTGGAAAGCGGCCCAAAGAGCCAAGTCCTGCCTGGATTTGGGTGGAAACAGGCCCAAAGAGCCAAATCCTGCCCGGATTTGGGTGGAAACAGGCCCAAAGAGCCAAATCCTGCCCAGATTTGGGTTGAGAATGGCCATAAAGGGCAAAATATGCCCAGATTTGGGGCAAAACTGACCCAAAGAGGAAAAGCATCCCCAGATTTAAGTAAATCTTTTCATAAATGGCAAAAGGATGTTCATATTTGGGTCAAAAATTGGCCAAATAGTCTCCTGGGAAGGTCTTTCAGGGATTTTGGGGGGATAATCACAAAGGGAGGTTTGGGCTCTGTGCAAAGGGTCTCATCCTGCACGCAAGGAAGCTTGGGTGCCCTGCAAAGGCTCTTGGGTGCTTTGCAAGAGTCTGGGCTCCTTGAAGGGCTCTTGGCCACCATGTAGAGTGCCTGAACTCCTTCAAAGTCTCTTGCAAAGTGTCTGAGCTCCTTCAAAGACTCTTGGCCACCACACAAAGGGTCTGGGCTCCTTCAAAGGCTCATGGCCACCACACAAAGGGTCTGGGCTCCTTGAAGGGCTCTTGCAAACTGTGTGAACTCCTAGGAAGTCCCTTGGCCACCACACCAAGGGTCTGGGCACGTTCAACAGCTCTTGGAAACCGCACAAGCTCCTTGATTTAAGTAAATCTTTTCATAAATGGCAAAAGGATGTTCATATTTGGGTCAAAAATTGGCCAAATAGTCTCCTGGGAAGGTCTTTCAGGGATTTTGGGGGGATAATCACAAAGGGAGGTTTGGGCTCTGTGCAAAGGGTCTCATCCTGCACGCAAGGAAGCTTGGGTGCCCTGCAAAGGCTCTTGGGTGCTTTGCAAGAGTCTGGGCTCCTTGAAGGGCTCTTGGCCACCATGTAGAGTGCCTGAACTCCTTCAAAGTCTCTTGCAAAGTGTCTGAGCTCCTTCAAAGACTCTTGGCCACCACACAAAGGGTCTGGGCTCCTTCAAAGGCTCTTGGCCACCACACAAAGGGTCTGGGCTCCTTGAAGGGCTCTTGCAAACTGTGTGAACTCCTAGGAAGTCCCTTGGCCACCACACCAAGGGTCTGGGCACGTTCAACAGCTCTTGGAAAGAGTCTGAGCTCCTTCCTTCAAAGACTCTTGGCCATCATGCAAAGTGTCTGAGCTCCTAGAAAGGCTCGTGGCCACCACGCAAAGGGTTTGGGCTCCTTGAAACATTCTTGGCCACCACACAAGGGGTCTGGGCTCCTTCAAAGGCTTTTGCAAAGGGTCTGAGCTCCTTCAGAGGCTCTTGGCCACCACGTAAAGGGTCTGAGATCCTTCAAAGGCTCTTGGCCACCACACCAAGTGTCTGGGCACGTTCAACAGCTCTTGGAAAGGGTCTGAGCTCCTTCCTTCAAAGACTCTTGGCCATCATGCAAAGTGTCTGAGCTCCTAGAAAGGCTCTTGGCCACCATGCAAAGGCTTTGGGCTCCTTGAAAGGCTCTTGGCCACCACACAAGAGGTCTGGGCTCCTTATGAAGGCTCTGAGCATCTTCAAAAGCTCTTGGGCACCACGCAAAGTGCCTGGACTCCAAGTGAAGCCCAGCTGCACCATCTGCAACCCCTCAAGCGTGGCAAAGCTGGCTTCCACCTCCCCCGGGTGGAGGACAACCAGCCAACGGCAACGCCGGTGGGTTTTGGCCAGCGGCACCGTAGGCCGGGTGCCACCGTGAGCAGCTTTCGCGCAGTAGTAGGTGGCCGTGTCCTCGGTCTTGAGGCTGTTCATCTGCAGCTTCACAGTGCTCTGGGAGTTGTCCCTGGAGAGCTGCTGAAGGTGAAGCCGGAGGCCTTGCAGAGGAGGGTGAGGGACCCCCCGGGTTTCTGGAGACCCCCTCCGGACTCCACCAGCTGCACGGCCGCCCGCAGCCCTGGGGAGGGAGGAAGGAGAGAATGGAGTCACCCGGTCCCGCCGTCGCCCCCCATGTCCGCGCCCGGGGAGGGGGTGAGCGGGGCCGGGTCCTACCTGGGAGGGCGGCGAGGAGGAGGAGGATGGTGGTGGCCAAGCGGACACCCATGGTGGGACGAGAAGGAAGGGGTTGAGGGAGGGAAGGGAGGTCGATGCCACCATGGTGGGAGCGGAGGGTTTATAAAGGCCCCGGGCGGTGGGGGAATTTGCATCGACCCCACCCATTAACCCCGAAGCGGGTGTTTTAATTGCAAATCTCAGCCTCCTCCCCCTCCCCCAACCGCTCGTTAGCAGTAATTAAAGAATTCCACCCACCCCCCTCTACAGCTTGTTTACCCCGAATCATTTAATTTGCGAGATCTCCAGGGGGTTAATCGCAGGTGCAGGCTTAATTATTTAATTGGGGGGGGTGTGTGTCTCTAGGGAATTAATCGCCGGTGCGCACTTAATTATTTGATTGCGATGTCTCTGGGGAATTAATCGCAGGTGCACACTTAATTATTTAATTGCGATATCTGTAGGGAGTTAATCGCCGATCGACACTGAATCATTTAATTGCCATATCTCAAAGGGATTAATCACCAATTTACACCGAATTATTTAATTGCGATAACTCTAGGCGTTTAATCGTCGATGGACACTTAATTATGTCAATGCGATGTCTCTGGGGAATTAATCGCGGGTGCACACTTAATTATTTAATTGCGATATCTGTAGGGAGTTAATCGCCGATCGACACTGAATTATTTAATTGCCATATCTCAAAGGGATTAATCACCAATTTACGCCGAATTATTTAATCGAAGTATGTCCAGAGGTTTAATTGTCGATGGGCACTTAATTATTTAATTAAAGTATCTCTAGGGAATTAATCGCCGATGGACACCGAATTATTTAATTGTGATGTCCCGAGGGAATCAATCACCAATTTACAGTGAATTATTTAATTGCGATTTCTGTAGGGAACTAATTGTCAGTGCACGGTGAATTATTTAATTGAAGTATCTCCAGAGATTTAATTGTCGATGGACATTTAATTATTTAATTGCAGTATCCCCAGGCATTTAATTGTCAGTACACGTAATTATTTAATTGGAATATTTCTAGGGAATTAATCATCGATGCGCACTGAGTTATTTAATTGCGATATCTCGAGGGAATTAATCGCCAATTTACAGTGAATTATTTAATTGTGATGTCTGCGAGGAATTAATTGTCGATGTACACGGAATTATTTAATTGAAGTATCTCCAGAGATTAAATTGAATTGTTGATTATTTAATTGCAGTATCTCTAAGGAATTAATTGCTGATGTACACCTAATTATTTAATTGCAGTATCTCTAAGGAATTAATCGCTGATGTACACCTAATTATTTAATTGCAATATCTGCAGGGAATTAATCATCGATGTACAGTGAATTATTTAATTGCAATATCTGTAGGGAATTAATTGCCGATGTACACTGAATTATTTAATTGTGACAACAATAGGTATTTAATTGTCGATGTACACTTAATTACTTGATTGCAATATCTCTAGGGAATTAATCATCGACGTACACTGATTTGTTTAATTGCAGTATCTGTAGGAAATTAATCACCGATGTACGCTGAATTATTTAATTGCGATACTACTGGGGAATTAATCACCGATGTACGCTGAATTATTTAATCGAAGTGCCTCTAGAGACTTAATTGTTGATGTACGTTGAATTATTTAATTGCGGTACCTCTAGGGAATTAATCGCAGGTGTGCGCCGAGTTGTTTAATTACGGCGCCTCTGGGGAGCTCGTCACTGGCAGCCGACGAATTTTTTAATTGCGAGCTCTGCACTGCACCCCTTATTTACACTAAATTATTTAATTGCAATTACCGCAGCTCAGCCTGATGTCTTTTTAATACTGAATTATTTAATTACAAGCTCTGCACTGCCCTGATCACTTATTCACCCTGATTAATTTAATTGCAATCACTGCAGCGCCCTGATGAATTATTTACCCCAAATAATTTAATTACAATCACTGCAGTGCCCTTATCATTTATTTACCCTGATTAATTTAATTTAATTGCCATCACTGCAGCGCCCTGATGAATTATTTACCCTGATTAATTTAATTGCAATCACTGCAGTGCCCTGATTATTTACCCTGATTAATTTAATTTAATTGCCATCACTGCAGCGCCCTGATGAATTAGTTACCCCAATTAATTTAATTACAATCACTGCAGTACCCTTATCATTTATTTACCCTGATTAATTTAATTGCAATCACTGCAGCGCCCTGATGAATTAGTTACCCCAATTAATTTAATTACAATCACTGCAGTGCCCTTATCATTTATTTACCCTGATTAATTTAATTTAATTGCCATCACTGCAGCGCCCTGATGAATTAATTACCCTGATTAATTTAATTGCGATCACTGCAGAGCCCCTGATGAATTATTTACCCTGATTAATTTAACTGCAATCTCTGCAGTGCCATGATGGATTAATTACCCTGATTAAATTAATTGCAATCACCGCGGTGCCATGATGAATTAATTACCCTGATTAAATTAATTGCAATCACCGCGGTGCGCCCCTATATCTTCTTTTTCCTACCAAATTATTTAATTGCCAGCCCTTCCCGGCACTCGTTAATTCTTCGGGCTTAATTATTTAATTGTCCTCCCCCGCTGATCTGTGTTGAGTTACTTAATTGCGATCGCTGGAGCGCCCTCGGCGCTGACGTCACCGGCATTGTTTTGGGGTAGAAAAGCCGGAAATGAGAGATTTCGGTTACTCCCTCCCCCACCCCTGCTCTGAGGCCTCCTGGGGTCCGGAATTTGGGGAAGATAACGGGATTTTTGGGGGAAAATCCTGAGGTTTAGGGGGGGGGGGGTGTTGATGCTGGGTGCAAGGATTTGGGGCAAAATAATGGGATTTTAGGGAAGGCGCTGAGATTTTGGGATGCAGGGGTGCCGGTGATGAGGCAAGGATTTGGGGAAAAGAATGGGATTTGGGGAAAACGCTGGGATTTTGGGATGTTGATGTTCGAGGCAAGGATTTGGGGAAGATAACGGGATTTGGGGAAAATGGGATTTGGGGGGAAGATGCCGGGATTTGGGGGGGCGGGGATGCTGCTGATGAGGCAAGGATTTGGGGAAGATAACGGGATTTGGGGAAAATCCTCCGATTTGAGGAAAGACACTGGGATTTTAGGATGCTGATGCTCGGGGAAAGGATTTTGGGGAAGATCATGGGATTTTGGGGATGATAATAGGATTTTTGGATACAGGGATGAGCATGCTAAGAGATGGGAAAGATGATGAGATTTTGGGAAAGATGATGAGATTTTGGGAAAGATGATGGGATTTGGGGAAAGATGATGGGATTTTGGGATGCCAGGGTGCTGAGAGGAGGGGCAAGGATTTGGGGAAAATAATGCGATTTTGGGAAGATGATGAGTTTGGCATGCAGGGATGCTGATGTCTGGGGCGAGGATTTGGGGGAAGATGATGGGATTTGGGGGAAAACGCTGGGATTTTGGGAGGCTGGGGAGGAGTTTTGGGGAAGATGATGGGATTTGGGGAAGATGATGAGGTTTGGGGGAGGAAGGGTTGTGGTTCGGAGGTAGGATTTGGGGGAAGATAGTGGGATTTTGGGGAAGATAGTGGGATTTTTGGATGCGGGGTGGGGACAATGATGCTCAAGGCATAAATTTTGGGGGGAAATGCTGGGATTTGGGGATTTAGGGCAGTGATGTCTGTGCTTGAGACATACATCTGGGCTTGACGCGAGGATTTGGGGAAGATTCCGGGTGTCTGTGGCAGCCAGTCTGTGCCGGAGCTGCTGGAGGTGGAGCCAGAGCCCTCAGAGAGGAGGTGTGGGGCACGGATTTGGGCCAACCCCCAAGGATTTCAGCTCTATAAATGTTTTGCTGCTTGATGGAAGGGTCCAGGCGTGCCAGAAGACCTGAAAAACCGTGTGAGGTCTTCAAGGGAGATGCTGTGATTTGGGGAAGCGGTGACAGCGTTGGTGCCACCACCATAAGCACTACCACCACTATCAGCACTTTTGGCGCAGTAGTAGGTGGCCGTGTCCTCGGTCTTGAGGCTGTTCATCTGCAGCTTCAGAGTGCTCTGGGAGTTGTCCCTGGAGATGGTGAAGCGCCCCTTGACCGACGACACGTACCATGTGCTACTACCATCGTAGCTAATACCCGCGACGTACTCGAGCCCCTTTCCGGGCGCCTGTCGCACCCATTCCAT